AGTCCAGTGTCACAACAATCAACAAACAATGCACAAAGATACAGTTGTTTAAATCAGCCTCCCCCATTTTTTTCTGAGTGTCTGGCGCTTCAGCTCCCAGGGCATGAGGTTATCAGCCTTGCTGTCTAGGGATTATGGGAATTTGAGTCCAACTGAACTGGAAGATGTGATCTTGGATTCCTTTCTCCCTTCCTCCCTCCCTTCTCCCCTCGTCTTTCTTTTTTCTTTCTTTTCTCTCTCTCTTTCTTTTTCTCTCTCTCTCCCTCCCTCCTTTCTTTCCCTCCCTCCCTCCCTCTTCTCTTTCTTGTCAAGTAGGCTGCTAATGTTTTTAATTAACATTTGTAAGCCTAAGTGTGACACCTCCTTTACATACTGGTGAATCGTGTCTTAATTCAGATCCCTCCTTGTGATAACCTCACCCAAGACTCCTGATCCCTAGGGAACTGCGTTCTTTGTACAATTGTCTAATCACCCAGCCCTGTTTCCACACAAGGCGTGTTGGGTAAGATCTTGCTTGGAGCAACTCACTGGAGAGAACGCCAAGGTTCCTCTGGCTGGCAACCAGCCTGTCCTACCCACGTTTTGTTTTAAGAGGGGCTGAATTAACATCTCCCTGTTTCCTGGAGACTTTTCCTGCGGAACCTGCCTTCTACTTGCTCAGAGAGCTTTTGAGTTCTCAAAGGGGAAGGTCTTCAGGTCTCCAAAAGTTTAGCATCCATGTGAGAGCCGGTAGGTGTCTCTTTTTATTCCTATGATATATTTGGAATTCAAGCCAAACTCTGAAGACCGCCATAGCCTCCTCCAATGTATTCCATGCTACTTCTCATCCGTGTTTCATACTAGAAGGAAAGGCTATTTGGTGGAGCTACCCCCCCCCCCCATCTTGTCCTAAAATTATGTGAATGTTTCTTCTTCATTCATTGGGGAAGGTGCTTAAGTTGAATTTTAATACAGCCACATAAAAGGAACTCTGGTATTTGTCATGGAAAGCACCAAGGCTTTATGAAACCAAAATAATCCAGAAATTATTAAGAATAGTTAAGAATTTCTGCAAAGCCAAAACCTTAACACTGGATCAGCATATAATGCAATAAAATTGAATTATAGAATATATACAATAGAATAGAATTGAGGCAATGGGATACGCTGTATGGAGGGGTTAGTACTTGTTTATTTTGCTTACTGTTGTTAAGGAAAGGTAGATTATAATGATAAATGCAATGTTTTAGTTTTTTATGTAAGCAATGCATATTGTATTTGGATTATTTTATTCTTTTTAAGTCAGAATGATAATAGGATATGGATTCTATATCCTACAAAAAAGGTAGGAAAATAACAGGGAGAAAAGTGATTCTGCTTTTTGTAGGGGATGTTCATTATCGGTGGTCCTCGATTTACGATGGCAGTTGGGGACAGAATTTCCATTGCTAAGCGAGGCAGTTGTAGAGTGAATCATGTCTGACTTTACAACCTATTTTAGCCACATTTAAGCAAATCACTGCAGTTGTTAAGTGAATCACACGGTCGTTACGTGAATAGTTTCCCCCTCCCCATTGATTTTGCTTGTAGGAGGCCAATTGGGAAGGTCACAAATGATGGTCACGTGATCCCCAGGACACCTGTTGCCAAGCAATCGAATTTTGATGTGACCATGGGGCTGCTGAAGCAGTTATGAGTGCAAGGACTGGTCATAAATCTCTCTTTTTTTTCCAGTGCCGTTGTAAATGATCATACATTGAGGACTAGCTGCATAGCTAGTGCTTACATTTTGCTCTAGTGCGGTCTGAAGTACTAGGAAGGTTTAACAGTTGTTGCAGTGTACAAAATGCTCTGGAAGATGTACATAAAGGTAGACTAAGCTACTTTATCCAAGTTCAGACTATTGATTCATTGAAAAAAAAAATTTGGAAAAATATTGAATATTGAAATATTGAAAAATATTGGAAAAAGTGCAGAGAAGAGCAACTAAGATAATTAAAGAGCTGGAGACAAAAACATACAAAGAACCATTGCAGGATTTGGGTTTGGCTAGTCTAGAGGAAGGAAGGATTAGGGGGGACATGATAGTGGTATTCCAGTATTTGAGGGGCTGTAACAAAGAAGAGGGGGGTCAAATTATTCTCTAAAGCACCTGAAGGCAGGAGAAGAAGCAATGGGTGGAAACTAATCGATAGAAGCAACCTGGAATTAAAGAGGAACTTCCTAACGGTGAGGGCAATTAACCAGTGGAACAAGCTTGCCTCCAGAGGTTGTAGATGCTCCATCACTGAAGGTTTTAAAGAAGACACTGGACAGCCGCTTATCTGAAATTGTATAGGGCCCCCTGCTTGAGCAGGGGGTTGGACTACAAGACCTCCAAGGTCCCTTCCAGCTCTATTCTGATTGATATAATTGGGTAGATAGCAGCAGCTATCCAACCTTGGCTGATCTGAAAAAACTTAAGCAAAGATTCAAACTAATTATACTTAGATGGACAACTGCAAGAAATCCCAGGGCTCCAGACCAGATGGGGAAGTCCAGAAAACATTTCAGAAAAAGGGTATAGCAAACTACTTTGAATACTGGGTTCTTGGTATTCTCCATGCTTGCTTCTCTTCTGCAGATGTTTCATTACCAACCTAGGTTTGTTTATTCATTACACAAGTAAAGTAAGGCATACTATATGGCACAAAATTTAAAATATTTTAAATTTAAAACCAGGCTAGGTGACATGCAATCCGAAGAAAACTCAGAAAATACCAAGGACCCAACAATTCAACCTTGGAGCCACATATGTTCTCCATTGTGGCACCAACATTGTTGTTCTTGTCAGGACAATTTCTTGGAAGGTCACCAGAAGTTGAGCTTGACCCAAGGGAGACTTTCTCTTCTCACTTCTGTTCTTCCTGTTGCCAATTCAGGAGACCCTACAAGACAGATTTGCAACAGGGCAGATGTCAAAACATCTTCCTATTAGTTGTGTACTTCTGTGAAACCTCTAAAGCATCACAACATCAGTGGGTTCTGGGCAGTAATGGGATTCAAATCCCGTCGCTACGATTCACTCGTGGGTGCGTGCGCACTTGCGCTCGCGCACAATGCTTCTGAGCATGTACAGAGACGTCCGAGCAGGTGAGTGGAGCCTCCTGCTGCCACCGCTACTGGTTCATCTGATCCGGGGCAAACCAGTAGCAATCTACCACTGGTTCGGGGTGGTGTTGCCTCTTTCTCATTGCAGATAGCACCAAGCATGGATTAATGTCACAGTCAGCAATTTTCCAGATTAAAGATAGTCTTAGTGTTTGCATTACACATGCACAATTATGTGCTATTTGTGGCCTAGAGATAGAGCTCTTGCCTCACAATCAGGAGTTTGTGAGTTCAATCTTGGGTAGAGGCAGATGTAGGGTTTCCTGCTTGGGCAGGACTAGATGACCTGCAAGGTCCCTTCCAACTCTGTTAATCTGTTATATGAGACGAACAAAGCTGTTAAAAAAACCCTGCTTAAACACTGTCACAAACATTTGACAAAGAAATTTATATTTCAGGAAAACTGGGAATGATGGATGGTTCAGTGTTTTTAATTTTTTGAACTACACACTAGGCAGAAACTTAGGATCTATCCAAAGGATGTAAACCTGAATTGTGAAGTAACTAGATTAGGTTCAAAGAATTCTAAACATCTGGAAAATGCTTATGTGGGAGAAGATTGGTTCCAGCATTAATAATATTATTCAGCTGTTAACCAATTGTGGACACAAAATTTAAACCTTGGATTTCTTTTTTAAAAAATGCTAACTTCATAGATATTAGTTTGGCTAGAATTTCATTGAATGATGATAAGAGAAACAAGTTTGCTTGGAGTTGGGCAGTATACATTTAATAAATCATTATTTTGCATTCAGTCATAAGCAGTAATAATAAATTTGATGGGCATAATGCTAGGTAGCTAGTTAAGCTTCTATTCTTCCAGTTCCACCCTTCATAGACTTGCCAGTAGACAACTGTTCTTTCATTAGCAAGTATGGGCTACCCCTTTAGAACCCAGAAAGCCTGGGATAAATCTAGATTAAAGTAGAGTTTGTCATTTGCTGAGACTTAGTTTGAGGCTTTGATGTTCCTCAGGATCTGGGTCATCGCAGCACTCGATGGCATAAATTCAGGTGGCCAATTTTTAGCATTATTTGGCTTTCCTTGCTTTCACTTCCTTAAAGCTCATACAAAGAAATAAATACAAATACAAAGAAATAAAAAGACATGAAAAACAAGAAAAGGGGAAAAAAGAGATAATAGTGTAAAGGGAGAAAAGAAAAGAAAAAGGCACTGACTTCAGAAGCTTCAGAAGAGAATATTATAACCACAACTTTTACACAACAGTATGTCCAAGCCATTTCTATAACCATAAGCCTATGTAGTTAACAAAAACAAAATCAAAGTTTCTTTTTTTTTTTCATTGCAAGCACAAAATCCGGAAGCAATTTCAGAATAAAGACAAAATTACATATATTCTCTCCTTTGGATAAAAGAATCAATTTAACCATCTCTGCTTCTCTTTGTTTTGGGGAATAATACAGCATTTTTATTTTTTTATTTTTTTTAACCCTAAAGGGAGAAAACATTTCTTTCTTTCTTTCTTTTTTTAGTTTTGGTATTTTACTAATTATAGGTCCAATTAAGTCCATTTAGTTCATGACATTCGAATCTCTCCCTCGAGTTTATCCTCATGCAATGGAACTTTTTTCTTTTCTTATTTCAAAATCTAATCAATAGTATTTTACAGACTTTGGAAATTATTCAGCATTACTTAAAGAAACAGAACATGCATTTTCCTACTCATTTTATACATACAAAACTGACTTAAAACTTCCTTTCAGTGCATATATCACACTTTTAAAATCTGTTCTAATTAATTAATTAGACATTCAATTTAAGTTATTCCTTCCAGCTCGTCTTCATTTCCTTTTAAAAATTTTAAAATCTTTTGGGCAGCTGGGGTGACCGGTCTTTCCTTCATTTTCTAGAGATGTCTTTACCGATTGACCTCTCCGTAGCAATGTGGACGCTCGGACTTGGAGCCATCGGGGCTGCTGTAACAGGGATGATCCTCGCCAACACGGATTTGTTTCTCCCTAAAGCAGAAATGGCCTCAATGGACTTTCTAGAAGAAATTGATCTGAAGACTCTGGGCCAAGGTAAGACTTAGAAGGAAGATCCTTCACCATGTTGTGACCTAGGCTCTCTTAGTCATTACAGGACACAATTAGTCTCAAACAAAACTATTTTATTATAACAGCTGAGAATTACTTCATTCCCAGCTTAGTCCAAATTAATTCCAAAACAAGTCCTTCAGAAAAAGTCCTTCGGGCTTATCACAAACCTTTATCTTCTTTGGCACCTTGCCAAAGGCCTTTCTTGGCAAAGCCCCACAAAGTTCAGAAACGAGATGCCAACTGGAAAACAGATTTAGCAACGTTGCTTTCCTACAAAGACCCCAAGAGCCTTTGCTGCTCTTTTAAGCCTTATGGGAGGGGCCAATCATCTCCTGGCCTTACTCCCAAGTCATCCTTTTTGCTTTAGCTGCTCTTGCCTTCTGGCAGCTCTGCGCATGCGTGCGCTAGGAACAGGCTCTGCCTGTTCCTCTGCCTCTCTGCTGTCCGACTCTGGAGGCTCCGGAGTCCGCACATCACTCCCAGATGGCCCGGCCCTATCTCTGCCTCCGACGCAGAGCCCTCGTCCGGGCCTTCCCCAGACTCCAGGACTGGCTCATGGTCCTCCCCAGCCTCCTCACTGTCTGACTCCGCTGCCAGCTCCGCGGGCTGCTGGTGGACCAGAACACACCAGTTCCTAATTGCAAATTATAGAAATGCACCGGAGAGACAAATCTACTTTTTTTCCGGAGTGAGTAAAGGGCTAATAGCAAACCTCAGATTTTACTCTGCTAGAGAGATGTAGAGGTGGAAACATTCATCACTTGGAAAATTGTCTAGAGTTTCATTTCATTTACGTGTGAAGTTTGTTTTTTCAGAAAAAAGCACCCCCTTTCCACTCAAAATACAAGAATGTATACAAAAATACATTCCCTCTTGTGTTCCAGTTGTGGTTCTGTAAGTCTAAATATTCTCAGTCATCCAGTTCATGATTGTCCCAAAGGTGCTTTTTGAAGAGCAACTGGACTTTCTTGTTTTTTTCTTTGAAGACGTTTCACTTCTTACCCAAGAAGCTTCTTCAGTTTCTTGGATGAGAAGCGAAACGTCTTCAAAGAAAAAACAAGAAAGTCCAGTTGCCTCCTGAAAAAACACCTTTGTGGTTCTATAGTTTGGGAACAGAAGGTGGGGCTTAGTTTGGAAAATAGGTGAACTTGTGGACTTTTAGAATTCAGGTGTTCTTCCAAAACACTCTTCAGAAGAAAGTAAATGCAAATGGAGTTAAAATAGCACAGACTTTCTTCCACTTGCTGTTCTTCAATATATTGGGTTACAACTCCTGGGAAGCATGGCTCAAACTGACCCAATAGATGGTAATAGAATTAATTGTCTCCAGATCATTTCTTCATGATTTTAGGTACGCTTTGATTGATCTTGAAAAGCCAAGCAGAGTCGGACTTGTTTAGAAGTTGGATGGGAGAATCTCAGAGTTACAGGCTACCAATAGAAGCAAATATTTGTAGCTCAGGGTTCAATTGTGGGGTCCTTGGTGCTTTCTAAGCTTGGTTGTTTTCTAAATAGCATCATCAGTGCTACTGGTCCTAACCTTGATGATGTTACCTAGTTTGGTAATCACTTCCATCTTGGCTGCTAAAACAACAATCTGGACTTCTCCATGAGTTTACCAGGATGTGAGCACAATTTAAAGGATCTTCACTTTAACTTTCTTTCCCTGGACCTCAAGGAGAACAGAGAACATTCAAAGCCAAGGATCTGTGGAAGATGAAGGGTGCGGTCATCATGGCGGTGAGGCGGCCTGGATGATTTTTGTGCAGAGAGGTAATGTATGTTCTCCAGTAGAACAGAATTGATTGAAACCAGCTGCCCTATTGACTTGCCCATCAGTTATTGTCTTGGACAGAAATCACAGCTTGGGTGCTTCATGTGCTGTCTACATTTTCTGAATACTAATGTACCAACAAGACTCGCCTAGACACAAAAATGCAGTGATAACACTCTAGCAAAACTATGCCGTGATCTGGTGCTATGTGCAGGAGACTTATAATAGAATCACTAATAATACTAATTCATAATGCAAGAGAAGATACTTCTCCATGTTAGTTATAGGTCACATTTAGAAATGCATTGTTTAATGAGAATGGAATGTTCTATATATTAGTATCTAGGCCATTTATCCAGTTAAACAGAGTATTCGTTAGTTGGAGAAAATCTGATTTCCTCTCAATCTGAAATCCCATTTCCTCTCAAATGGCAGCTAGTCATTACATGATCCAATGTTTGGTGAGGAGTATCATAGTCACATTCAGGAAAGAATCTTCTGCCCCATTTAAACAGACTTGACACATGCCATGCATGGTGCAGACCCTATTCAGATCTATCTGAACAGGTTAGTAGAACAGTAATAGCATTTAAGCTTATATATCACTTCACAGTGCTTTACAGCCCTCTCTAAGTGGTTTACAGAGTCAGCCTCTTGCCCCCAAACAATCTGGGTCCTCATTTTACCAACCTCGGAAGGATGGAAGGCCAAGTCAACCTTGAGCCGGTTAGGGTTGAACTGCTGGCAGTGAGCAGAGTCAGCCTGCAATACTGCATTCTAACCACTGTGCCACCACAACTATTCATGAATGAATGAATGAATGAATGAATCTAAAGGACAATTTTCTGAAATAAAGGATCAGCGTTTACAAGAAAGGAAATAGGATCATTATATAGGAATAGAATAGATCTACAGGAGAGGAATAAAGCTAATAGCAATAACACTTAGACTTACATCCCATACATTTCATGTTTTTTTACAGCCCTCTCTAAGCAGTTTATAGAATTAGCCTATTGCCCCCAATAATCTGGGTCTTCATTTTACCAACCTCAGAAGGATGGAAGGCTGAGTCAACTTTGAGCCAGCCGGTCAGGATCAAATTGCTGGCTGTAGGTAATGAGTTAGCCTGCAATACTGCATTCTAACCACTGCGCCACCAGAGCTTAGAAATGGTTAATAAAGTATATGAGATGTGGGATAAAATATTTCATTGGCCTTCAGTAGAGCTGTGAAACTTTAACAAGCATTGGATCATGATGATAGATGGTCTGGTTCTGTTACAAGAATGTTTTGCTATATCCAGCCTTGGGTAGGTATTGCTTTGGTTTAGATATATTCATTCAGGACTGTATTTATATTGAGGTAGTCTGCCCATAGTTCACAAATTTTAAAATGAATGAATGCACCTCAAACTGGATAAAATGTAGCCTAGCTTGCATAGCAATAGCACTTAGACTTACCGCTTTTACAGTGCTTTACAACCCTCTCTAAGTGGTTTACAGAGTCAGCTTCTTGCCCCCAACAATCTGGGTCCTCATTTTACCGACCTTGGAATGGAAGACTGAGTCAACCTTGAGCCTGGTGAGATTCGAACTGCCAAATTGCAGTACTGCATTCTAAGCACTGTGCGGCTCATATTTTTGATAAAACCCATGAGGTTGTAAACAATCAAACCTTATGGATGAATAGAACACGGAAGGAGGCTGGAAAGAAGGACCTGTCTCCAAGTTGATACAACTTGGTTCATGATAATCTTGGATCATGAGCCTTCTCCGTTACCACCACTGTGCACACAACATGTGAACAATAATTCCAGCTTGTGTACCAAGTTCTTGGATAACCTACCCCACCTGAATGACTTTGCCCCAGAAGTTGTGGCTGCGCCATCACTGGAGGTTTTTAAGAAGAGATTGGACAGCCTTTTGTCTGAAACAGTATAGAGTCTTTTGCTTGAGCAAGGGGTTGGACTAGAAGATCTCCAAAGTCCCTTCCAACTCTTGTTACTCTGTTATATTGGCCAGAAAGCAAGGCTTTTTCCAGTAATAGGTTTGGTAAGATTTATTGAAAGAGGATAGAATAAGATTATGGAAATCTCAGCAACTCATTTCATCTGGTGTCTTTTTATTTATAATTCTCCTGTAAACATGATTATAAGTTTGTTCTGTTAACTGAGAATGGAGGAATGTTCAGTTAGTTAGAATGCAAATCTTTCTCTGGTTTCAAGCATACCATTATATTCTGTGTTCCTTAGCTGCCAATCCTTTGGGCAGTGAATCAAAAGGAACACAGAAGAGCAAAGCTTTTAAACATTTCTAAATCTATGTTAAAAAGAAAAACACCTGGCAGGTACAGGAAAATTGGACAAAAATAAAATGGCAAAGAACAAAAGGCTGTATAATCTCTAGGAGCACAAAAGGCAGAGAACGGGGATTTGAAAACATGAAACCGAAAAGAAGAAACACTGCAGTTTAGCAGAGACAGCAGCTTATTAAACTGGAAATAGGCCAGATACCTAGCGGGATGACTGGTTTGAACTGGCTTAGCAGGAGTTATTGGTACAGGTTCACAGTCATGGACAATCCCTGGAAGAGCTGCCACAGGGAAGAGGCGATTAACTATTCTGCAAGGCCCTGAAGGCAGGACAAGAAACAATGTGTGGAACCTTGTTAAAGAGATCCAACTTGAAATTTCTTGGCAGAACAACTATAGAACAGCTGCTTCCCAGAGTTGTGGATGTTCCATCACTGGAAGTTTTTAAAGAACGATTAGACAACATTTGTCCAGGATGTCCCAAAGGTACTTTTTTTTAAGAGGCAACTGGACTTTCTGTTTTTTCTTTGAAGATGTTTCGCTTCTCATCGAAGAAGCTTCTTCAGCTCTGACTGGATGGTGGGGAACGGAAGGATTTATATTCCTTGCAGACAGCTGGTCATTTGCATCCTTTCAGAGAGTCGTTGAGGCCACTTGGAGGTTTGTCTGTGTCCTCAGGGACACCTGAATAGTGCAAATGGGTTGTGGAGCTGTGCTTTCTGCAGGATGTTTCCACCCTGTGTCTCGTCATGATGAACACAGGCACAGGAACTTGTGAACGGACACAAGTGGCCTCAACGACTCTCTGAAAGGATGCAAATGATCAGCTGTCTGACAAAATAACGTGACACTATGTTAAGTGGAGTCTTACATTGAGATACCATTACTATTTTAAGTGATTCCTGTTTTCCACATTTGTCATTCTTTTCTTACCTATCTTCCTCAACCTAGTAAAACAACACATCTCATTCCTGCAATCTGATTTTCCTATGGGGGCAGAAGGTTTATGTGTTTGTTGTTTTCGTGTGTGTGTGTTTCAGAGCATGAAATCCTAGGAGCAACCTGAAGTTGTTTACCCCAAGTACAAATGCTGGATCTTAGAAAGAACTAAATCAAGACAAGTTTAGACCAGTTTTTAAGAATATCCCTTTACATGCCAATTGCTTGCTCAGGGCCCCAAGGAGCTTCTAGTAGTTATGGGTATTATTTGGGCAGCTGGAAAGGAAAACAGCTTATGGTTTGTTAGCTTCTGCTTAGAAATTCAAAATAAAATCCCCTTCTGAGTCATGCTGCGCTTTTAGTGAATTCACAAACACATCCGTGTTAATTTTCTTCTTCTGCCTTTTTTCAAGATTGTGTGTGTGGTTTTTTTTTTTTAACAAACAGCCTAGCTTACAACCCTGGAATTTTGTGGTGGTTTCTTTTCTTTATGTATTAAACTTGTATGCAAAAGGCAGCTTACAGGCATTGCTTAAAATGCCCTATAAAACATTAAAACAATTAAAAGATCTTAAAATTAAAAAATCCTATTAAAACTCAGCAGGATAGAGAGGGAAGGGAGCAAAGTGCACAAAGGACAGAGGTAGGATGTTCTCTGCTCCATTAGAAGTAGAGCCGTTAACAATAGTTGGGTACCTAGTTGGTCAAAGGAGGAAGAATTTGAGGTTGATATGTAAAGTTTAGGTTACTATAGGAAAAAACTCAGGGAAGCTAAACTTGTTGTAACCTGGCTCTTCCTAAACCAACATTCCTTTGGAGAAGAAGATAAATTCAGTTAACCATGCAGACATTCTCATCCTCCAGACCTCTGAGTTCTTGACAAGTTGGAATGTTTGACTTGATTCAGATATCCCTAAAGCAGGATGAGGCAGCAATTTCCTATTGGAAGACAGCAAAAGCAATAGCACTTAGACCAGTGGTGGGTTCCAACTGGTGTTACCACTGGTTCTCTTTGCACACGCTCTTTGCGCACAATCTTAATGATTTTCTCCCTTAATTCTGTTTCTTCTTCTTCTTCTTCTTCTTCTTCTTCTTCTTCTTCTTCTTCTTTCTTCTTCTTCTTCTTCTTCTTCTTTTCTTCTTCTTCTTCTTCTTCTTCTTCTTCTTCTTCTTTCTTCTTCTTCTTCTTCTTCTTCTTCTTCTTCTTCTTCTTCTTCTTCCTTTTATATTTATTGTATCTTTTCTCCTGAATCCTTTCTCTAACTTTTGAGTTTATTACTTGGATAATTCTCCCCCAGCTTTTACCTAATCTTTTTCCATTTCCTTCGCTTCCCTTTAAGTGATTCTTTTTGGGGGGATATTCCCTCCCATCCATTCTTTTTTTGTCACTGTAAATCCCAGTATAATCATCTTAACTTTTTACCTTCAATTCCTTTTCCTTCAATATTATTTTCTTGCTTCTCATTTATATTCTCTTTTACCTGTTTCATGTGTTCTAGCAAAGTTTCTGACTTTTTATTTTATTTAATAATTCACGCATGTTTTTAAGCATCTCAATTCCTCATATATCCAAGGCTCCATGTTATCAATTTAAAAATTATTAATATTTTAACTTATGTTTAATTAAGGTTTAACTCCATAGTCTCTTTTTTATTTCCAGATAATATCCAGTTCAAATGTTTGTCCAATCCACTCCAATTTAAAGCTTTGTTGTTTTTCACCTCCTTTAAAAATTGAGACCAAGCAGTTTAAAAAGAAACAAATACTTCTTAAAGTTTCTCACAGTCGTCAAGGTCACTGCAGTTATTTCCTTCAATTTTCAGGCTGGTTGTTGTAGTGCTTTCTTTCCACCAGCAATGTCTCCAATCCACAATTCCTAGAACAACAAAGTATCAAGCTTACAAAAATGTTTTAAATCCACATAGAAAATACTTTCTCTCAGATTTCTTTTCATTTTAATGATTTTAATTTCTCCAAATTCAGTTTTAAATCCAATTGTAAAATTTCCTTTCTTAGGCTTTAATACTTTGACCTCCTCTTTATTCTTCCTTCAAATATCAAAACTGTCAGAAATAATTCAAATCCTCATTAAAAGGTGCTTTCCCTCGGCTTTCTTTTTCTTGTATTAGTTTTAATTTCTCCAAGTCCAATTTTAAATCCAAATATAAAGTTTTCTTTTTCGGGCTTTAGTACTTTAACTACCTCTTTGTTCTTCTCCCTCCATTAAAATCCCCGTGCCAATTAGCCGCTTGTTTCCTCGCCGGGACACCTTTTAAAGTTTTTAAAAATTTCCTTTTTTACCTGTGAGTTGGCCAATCACTCACCCAGTACCAGTACTCCGTTCAGACACCGCTCCTGCACAAAATCTTATTGCCCCAACTTCAAAGCGGTCTTTTTAATGGCCGCCACCCCGCCACCGGTTCGAAGAGCTGCCTCTGACCTTTCGAGGAACTTGCCTGTTCCTCTTGGTTGTCTGAGGCGCCTCTCCTTTTTCACCATTCCTATAGGATGGTTCCGGTCCGAAGACAGTGGTTTTTCTGGCTAGATTTTCATGAGGCTCATCGGAGCCCGCTATTTTCCAGCCAGTCTTGTCGTGACGCTTCCGGTTTCCCAGGCAAGCATTGGTTGATTGGTTTCTTCTTAGTCCTAGGTTGCTTCTCTCTTGGGTTAGTTTCCATCCATTGTTTCTTGTGTCTTTTGGTGCTTTGGAAAATAGATTGACCCCCTCATTTCTGAAGGAGCCCCTCAAATTTCCTGACAGTACAATTAATCAGTGGAACAACTTGTCTCCAGAAATTGTAATAGCTCCAAAACTGGAAGTTTTAAAGAAAAGATTGGATAACTTTGTCTGAAGTGGTGTAGGGTTTCCTGCCAAAGCAAGGGGTTGGACTAGAAGACCTCCAAGGTCCCTTCCAACTCAGTTTATTCTGTTTTGTTCTATATATTGGAACAGTGCTATTTTATTTTGAGTAAGAGTTAGACTAAGGAGAAACTTCCTAAGGGTGAGATGAATCAAGTTGGCCACACCCACCCAGTCACATGACCACCCAGCTGGTCATTAGGGCAGAGAACTGGTTGTTGAATTATTTGAATTCCACCACTGACTTAGACTTCTACACCGCTTCTTTTGCAGCCCTCTCTAAGCAGTTTACAGAGTCAGCACATTGCCCCCAACAATCTGGGTCCTCATTTTACTGACCTCGGAAGTTTGGAAGGCTGAGTCAACCTTGAGCCAGTCAGGATCAAACTTCTGGCAGTGGGCAGAGTTCACCTACAATGCATTCTAACCACTGTGCCATCAGATCCTTGGCGCATGAGAAAAGTGGCTGGCTTTTTACAACAGCACTGAAAAAAGTGACTTATGACCATTTTTCACAGTTACGACCTTTCCAGCATCCCCATGATAGTGTGATCAGAATTCAGATGCTTGTCTATTGGCTCATAGATATGACCGCTGCTGTGTCCCAAGATCATGTGATCCCCTTTGACAACCTTTTGACAAGCAATGGGGAAGCCAAATTCACTCAACTACCGGGTTCCTAACTGATCGACTACAATTATTCACTTAAGAACCTTCGCAAGAAAGGCCATAAAATGGAGCAAAATTCATTTTAAAAATGTCTCACTTAACAACAGAAATTTCAGGCTCTGTTGTAGTCATTCATTGAGAATAACCATCTGTTTTAATAAATCTATTACAGTTGGGCTGGATGATTGTTGACTCAGGTTGTCTTTCTATTTGTAGGAGGCCTCTGAGCTGTCCTCTCTGAAACCCCAACTCGACCAGGTCGGGGTCCCTCTTTATGCTGTGGTGAAAGAGAACATTGGGACGGAGGTGGCAGACTTTCGGCCATACTTCAAGGGAGAAATATTTCTGGATGAAAAGGTAGGTGGGATTTTTTTGAGAAGGAGGAGATGACCTATTGAGGCATAAGGCTATCCTTGCCCTATTTGGGGAGATATTTCGGTTCCTATATTGTGAATTCGGTTCCTATATTTGGTTCCTTTGATCACCTAGCAAACGCCTGGCATTTTTTGGAGTAAGGATTCTATGTGTTTGGAAAAGGCCCCACTGTGGCTTGAGCTTCGGAGTTTAAAAACTTGAGTTTTTGCAATTCTGGATGATGATATCCAGACCAGGGGTGAAATCTAAAATTTGTTACTACCGGTTCTGTGGGCATGGCTTTTGGGGGGGGGGGGTGTAATGTGACTGGGTGGGCGTGGCCAATTTTTTTTTTCTTTTAAAACCATTTTTTCTACAACCTGTTCGGCTAAGAGGTTGTAAAAAAATGCTTTCAAAAGGCTCTGACAATCCAAGCTGAGTTCCCTGATCGGCAGAGGCTTTTTAAGGAACTCAGCTTGGATCGTCAGAGCATTTAAAAGAAAAAAAAACCCTTTTTCTTTTAAATGCTCTGACGATCCAAGCTGAGTTCCCTGAAAGCCTCTGCCGATCAGGGAACTCAGCTGGGATCGTCAGAGCATTTAAAAGAAAAAAAGTGGTTTTTTTCTTTTAAATGCCTTTGACAAGCGCGCGATCATCAGAGGCTTTTTTTTTTTAACTTTTAAAAGTATTTTTTCAGCCGAAGTTGTAGAAAAAATGCTTTTAAAAGTTAAAAAAAAGCCTCTGATGATTGTGCAGCTCAGCTAGGCATGGGGTGGGGGTGGGGATTTTTGCTACCGGTTCTCCAAACCACCCACCTCCATCGCTACCGGATTGGGCGATCCGGTCCAAACTGGGAGCATTTCACCCCTGATCCAGACCTTATTTCTTTCTTAATTATTTTTAAATTTATATGCCTCCCATCCTGCCTAGAGGAATATAGGTGGCTCGCAACCAAATGAAAGCAACAAGATAAAACATGAAAACAATAAATATTAACATTAAAATGGACTTAAAATTAACCTGATTCTTCTCACCCAAGAAGCTTCTTCAGCTCTTTTTCTTTGATGACGTTTCACTTCTCATCCAAGAAGCTCCTTCAGCTTTGACTGGATGGTGGGGAATGGAAAGATTTGCACATCTGTATATTGGGGAAACAAAACAGCCACTTCATAAACACATGGCACAACATAGGAGAGCAAACCCATCAAGACTAATTCAGCAGTCCATCTGCATTCCAAAGACACAGGCCACTCTTTTGAAGACAGCAAAGTCCATATTTTGGACAGAGAGAATCTCTGGTTTGAAAGAGGGGTCAAAGAGGCCATCTATATCAAAATTGAACAGCCTTCTCTTGACAGGGTGAGGGATACGACTTTATCTATCTCCAGTCTACAACACAGGACTAGACTTTATCTATCTCCAGTCTACAACACAGTCCTTTCAGCAGTTCCAAGAAGGCTCCACACACATTTGCACCATTCAGGTGACTCTTGAGGACACAGAAAAACCTCCAGGTGGCCTCAACGACTCTCTAAAAGGATGCAAATGACCAGCTGTCTGCAAGGAGTATAAATCCTTCCACCATCCAGTCAGAGCTGAAGAAACTTCTTGGATGAGAAGCGAAATGTCTTCAGAGAAAAACCAGAAAGACCAGTTGCCTCTTGAAAAAATAGCACTTTTGGGACAACCATGACCTGGATGAATGAGAATCTCCATAGACATATTGATAGAGAATCTAGAACAGCAGTGTCAAAAGATTTGGGGGAATGAATGCACCCTCTGCAAAGAGAGGCTGATTGCTTGTTGATTTTTAATAGAAAAATGTCCTGACAGGAACACAAGAATGCAGAACTGACATTCCAGCCATAAATTGGGTTTTCTGGGCCTGCGATTTCCCATTAAGTCTCAAGCCATGGAATATTTATTTATTTATTTATTTCATGTATTTATATGCCGCCCTTCTCCAGAAGGACTCAGGGTGGCGAACACAAGTTAAAAACATGTACAACAAAATCCCATTTTAATCCAAATTAACTAATAAATAATAAAACCCAGAAGCAGAGTCAGCCTATTTGCTTGAACAGCCAAGTCTTCAGGTCCCGACGGAAGGAGCGGAGTTCAGGAGCCGTCTGGAGCTCGGTAGGCAACTCATTCCAGAGGGTGGGAGCACCCACAGAGAACGCCCTACCCCTGGGCGCGGCCAGACAACATTGGCTCGCCGTCGGAACCCTGAGGAGAGCAGCCCTATGTGAGCGAACAGGAATATGGATCCCATCAAATGAGCTACAATAAGGGGTTTGCCGAGGGAAGCTGCTGGCCTTGAAATTAGCTTTGCAGAGTTGCTCCTTAAGAGGTTAATCGGATTTCACCGTTGTGTCATTAATTGTCATGGATAGAGCACGCTTTGCCTTTGAAGGATTGACTTGCTTATGCAGGATTCCCGATATTAAACACTAGATCAACAAAAAAGATTCACCCCGCCTGCCCTTTTCATCCTTTCTAGATATTGAGGTGTGTTCCCCAGTGAGTCATCCTGTCTTCTCAAACGTTAAAAAATAAAGGATTGACATTAAATCAACAGGGGGAAGTAACAGGACATGGCAGTGCTGATCTTGGGAGGATTGGTTGGTATGCCCTGCAGATATATTTCGAGGAAGAAGCCTTTATAGACAACAGGAGTCTCCATTGCACGATAATCTTATTACCGATTCACAGTGCTGAAGGAAGGAAGGAAGGAAGGAAGGAAGGAAGGAAGGAAGGAAGGAAAATAGCAATAGCACTTAGACTTACATACCCCTTCAGTGATTTACAGCCCTCTCTAAGTGGTTTATAGAATCAGCATCTTGCCCCCAACAATCTGGGTCCTCATTTCACCATCCTCGGAAGGACAGAAGGCTGAGTCAACCTTGAGCCAGTCAAGATCAAACTCCTGGCAGTGAACAGAGTTAGCCTGCAATACTGCATTGTAACCACTGTACCACTACTATTGTCTCCTAATAAGACGAAGTTAGGAAAAGGCAAGCTGATTCTTCTATATTCTGTTGTGGTCCTCTGGCCATTTTTTTTTAGGGGTCCTTGGTGGTCTCTGATCTTGGTCATTTTCTTGAAGACGTTTCATTACCGAACTAGTAATGTCATCAGTGCTAGAAGGGAGTGGGGTAGAGGAATAATGGAACTATCAACTCAGATCAGCAAGCTAAGAGTAAACAGTCAAGGAATTACCAAGAACACTCCACAACACACTGATAGAGCAAGCCACTTGTACATAAACAGAGAGTAAACCTCACTCCCTTCTAGCCTTGATGAGGTAGCCTACTTGGGTAATGAAATGTCTGCCAGAAAACACCCAAGCTCAGAGAGCCTCATTTCAACCTTGAGCTATAAATAGGTAACATCATCAGTGCTAGAAGGGAGGGGGTAGAAAAATCAAGGAACTACCAACTCAAATGAACAACCTAATAATAAACTACAGCCTAATAAAGGAACCACCAAGAACATTCCCACTAATACTGACAAGGTAAGTCAGTAGTATATACACAGAGAGCAACCACCCCCTCTCCTCCTCTCCACAAACCGCTCTCTCTTCTAGCACTGATAATGTTACCTTGGGTAATGAAATGTCTGCAGCAAAACAACCAAACTTGGAGAGAGACCCACAGTCCTCCTCCTCCTCCTCCCTGCAAACCTCATTGCCTTCTAAACTGATGAAGTTATCTAGTTGGGTAATGAAATGTCTGCAAGAAAATGCCCAGGCTCAGATAGCCCCATAACAACCCCAAGCTATAAATATTCTAGTACCATTTTCATTGACTATCAACTTCATTGCCGTAGGGAACTTGATCATGGCTAAAGCTCCCAAAATGATTAATTATCTAAATTCTGGGCAATGGAGATGGTTGAGTGTTCTCCAAATCCTATTTCTAAAAGACCAGGACATCAATCGATAGTGAAAAATGAAGAGGTGGACATAGCTTACATCCTTGTGGTCTGTTTGCGGAGGTGAAACACCACTACAAAAAAAAAAGTGTGAAGCCTCCTAATGTGTACATGGGACCTATCCATGTTCCCTTCTGAGCCACATCATGTGCCCCCTTCCAATCTAGGCTACAGCCCTCGGGGTTTCCCGGGGATGTCTCCTTGAAATACAGGTACCATGTTTCCCCGAAAATAAGACCAGGTCTTACATTATTTTTTGCTCCAAAAGATGCATTAGGGCTTATTTTCCTGGCTGGGTCTTATTTTTGGGAAAACACAGTCCTTGACTTGGAACAGTTCGTTTAGTGACCATTCGCAGTTACAATGGCACTGAAAAAAACGACTTGCAACCGTTTTTCAAACAACCATTGCAGCTTCCCCATGGTCACCTGATCAAAATTCAGACAGTCGGCAGCTAACTCGTATTTATGATGGTTGTAGTGTCCCCGGAGTCAAGCGATCCCCTTTTGTGGCTTTCTGACAAGCAACGTCCATGGGGAAGCCAGAATCACTTAACAATTGTGTGACTAATGACTGCTGTGATTTGCTTAATGCATAACCTTGGCAAGAAAGGTCGTAAAATGAGACAAAACTCACTTAACCACTGTTTCGCTTAGCAACGGGAATTTGGGGACTCGTAAATCGACAGATACCTCTACTTATCAGGTTGGATCCTGTTTCTTTTTTCCAAGATCAGTGGGTCATTTTTCAGGAGGTCTTCTCTATAGGAAGACTTCCAGTTTTGAGCTGAGTTCCTTCTCATCCCCTTTCCAGAGAAAATTCTACGGTCCTCAGAGAAGAACAATGCTGCTCCTGGCTCTTTTCCGCTGGAACGTCTGGAGGAACTTCTGGCGTGCTTGGAGGAGCGGCTACACCGGCAACATTGATGGAGAAGGCGTGATCCTGGGAGGGGTTTTTGTGATCGGCCCAGGCAAACAGGTAGAAGAGTGGAGAAATGGGGCTGGGAACGCCACATATTCTGTGTCTGGCTTGGCAGACTTGCTTCTCTGCAGCTTTCAGCCCATGAAAAAAGGACCTTGGCAATTGGCTTTCTACTCCAGATTGAAGGATGTCTCTCTTTCTCTCTCTCTCCCTCTCCCTCTCCCTCTCTCTCTCTCTCTCTCTCTCACACACACACACACACTTTTCCTCTCTCCCTCTCTCTTTCTCCTTCTCTTTTTCTCTTTCAATATCTGCCTCTTGCTCTCCTTCTCTTTCTCTGTCTCCCTCTTTCTCTTCTATTTTTCTTGCTCTCTCCCTCCTCTCTTTGTGTCTCTATCTCCCTCAGTCTTTTCCTCCTTCTCTTTCTCTCTCTTTCTCTACCTTCCTCTTGCTTTTTTCTCCTTCTGTTCTTTCTTTCTTTCTTTTTCTTTCTCCTTCTCTTTTCTTTCTCTCCCTTTCCCTTTTTTTCCTTCTCTTTCTCCTCTTTTCCCCCTCTCCTTCTGCCTCTTTTGCTCTTTTTTCTCCTTCTGTCTCTTTCTCCATTCTTCCTCTATCTTCTTCTCTCTTCTATTTCTCTTGCTCTCTCCTTTCTATCTCCCTTTCTCTTTTTCTCCTTCTCTCCTTCTCTCTTTCTCCCTATCTCTCATTCTCTTTAATTCTCTATTTCTCTCTCTCTCCCCGCATGTTTCCATTTATTTTAATTGTTATTTTGATGATATAAATCTTCTCTTGTGTGGCAACCAAATTTCTATTTAATTTTATAAAATTTAACATGGAGAACTGGAAGTTGACAATATCGATGATTTTAAATTTGAAAATCTCAGTATAACGTTCTTCCTACTTCCAGAAGGGGATAACTAAATGAATTGTGGAGATGTTAAAGAGTTTTCAGATTGCAGTTTTTTGGGGGAAAACTGTTCCTGAGCTCTGTATCTTTTTTCAGGGGATTCTCTTGGAACACCGTGAGAAAGAATTTGGAGATAAAGTCAGCCATGATGCTGTCTTTGATGCTGTTAAGAAGATCAAAGCGCAACCTTCAGACCATGGAGAATAAAGCACCCTTTCTTTTTTTGTTGCAAATGCTAATGTTGCCACGCAAACGTGGGCCGTATTTCTGCCAGGTTCTCAATTTCTCCCAAATACCCTCATCATAAAGTCCAGCTCCTAGTAGCTCTTTCCATTTGCTCTTCAGACCACTGATTCCTTCTGTCTTTGTTCTACTGGGTCAATGAAAGGCCAGATCTGAAATTTGAAGATCTGACCAAGATCCTTTCCAGTTGGAACAAAACATTCAGGTGCATCAGGGTATCGGGGATGATGGAAAGCTTAATAAACATTGTTTGGAAGTTTAAATGATGTGGTTTTGGTCATGATTTTTGAAAACCCAGTGTGCGAACTTGCCACTTTCCATGACTCAAATGGCATCTAGTTAGGCTGGATAATTTCAGGGCTGAAGGTCAAACTAGACATCTTAAAAATGGTAAGTAGTCATCACCTTGGAGGCCTTTTCAGAATATTATCATTTTTGATAATAACATACGGACATATCTTATTGGAGCAGCACTTGGACTCAGCAGAACTAAAGTTTATAAGATATAACAATTAAGGTGTTTAATGGTGACTGGATATTCTACCTTCAGCAGTGGAAAGATAACTGGGCCAGTTACTTCCAGCCCACAATCTAAATCCCATGGTTTTTATTGTGATGATGAGGAAGGTGGAGTGGGAAGTTCTGTGTCGTCTCTCTGTAGAGCTAAAACAATCCAACGAGCAAAATTAAAAAAATATTTCAAACAGTGCTATTTTCTTCAATCAAGATCATTCCCAAAGCTCTTATTCATTCAGCAAATAGTCCAAAAAGGGGAATATATTGGTGTCTGAGGTTACTATCAAGAAAAGGAGGGAAGGAAGGAAAAAGAAATAGGGAGATACGAAGGAAAGACAAAGAAGGAAGAAAGGAAAGAAAAAATTGGGAGGAAGGAAGGAAGGAAAGATGGAAGAAAGAAGAAAAATAGGGAGGAAAGAAGGAAAGCCCAGGAAGGAAGAAAAAAGAAAAGATTGGAAGGAAGGAAGGAAAGACAGAAAAAGAAAAAAGATCTGCTTTGCATCTGGATTTGTGATTCTGCATTCTGCCTTTATGGAACAGCAATTTTTGGAAAGCATTTTAATAAAAGATAAAGGAGTTTCCATTCTGAACTGGGAGATGCCAGTTCAAAATGGGACAAAACCTTAAATTTTCTTTCCTCCTGAAGCCATTAGGAAATGCATACTTTTACACCCATTCATGCACAGAGTCTATTGGCACCAAGAAGATAATTGGTACAGTGGGAAAGGACATATCTTTCAGTAGGCCTGGGTGTAAACGAAATTATCTTCAACATTAAAATAAAAAATGAATAACCCTGGACAGCGTTGTAAACCTTTATTTAAAAGTAAGTAGTAAGAGTAAGTAGTAAGCCACCCTATTTAACAACATGCATTTATTAAGGTTCTCTTCAGCTCAAGGCTGCGTTTCCACAAATTCAACCAATTTATTTACAAACTTTGTTAAAACATTGTATTCTAGAAAACTAAATAACCAAAGTGCATCATGTACACCATGGGTCCTCAAACTACAGCTGCATGCGGCCCGCTGAACCAATTAATCTGGCCCGCAGAGCACCACGAGGTTGCCCCACCCACATCACCCAACCCACCCTTCAGCAGAGTGCAGGACTTGCCTTCGGGAGAGCTACAGGCTGGAACCAAAAGGTAAATTCAACAATTTTAGCCTGCAGAATGCTTGTGGAGGTCAGGGGTGGGGGTTAGAAGAGGCAAAAAAACAGGCAAAAATGGCCCGTTTTTGGCCAAAAAAATAAGCCATTTTTGCCTGGTTTTAGCCTGCAGAATGCTTGTGGAGGGGGGGGGAATGAAAGGAGGCAAAAAAACAGGCAAAAACAGCCCATTTTTCACCTTCACCGCCTGCACAAGATAGAAAAGAGGAAGGGAGAGAAGGAAAGAGGGAGAGAGAAATAAAGAAAAAGGGGAGAGACAAAGGGAGAAGGAGAGAAAGGGAGAGTCAAAGAAAGAGAAAAGGGGAGGGAGAGACAAAGACTGAGAAAAAATGAGGGAGAGAAGGAGAGAAAGAAAGAGGGAGAGAGAGACACGGAGAGAAGGAGGGAGAGAGAAAAAAGAGAGACAAAGAGATAGAGACAGATTTCTCAAACTCCTTGGGGCTGAGAAGAATTGCAGCAACCCCTAGACTCCTAAACAACTGAAAAAACGATCCAGTAAAAAGAAAAGGCAACCAAAAAAGCAACATGCAAACAAAAGCAAATAAAACACCTCCAGGAGAAAAACAAAGTTTAATTTATGTGCATTGTTCAATGGACTGTTAAATTGGCCCACCCAGTCACATGACCGCCTAGCCACGCCCACCTAGTCACATGACCACCTAGCCACACCCTCCCAGCCAATCTGGCCCCCCAACAGTTTGAGGGACCGTGAATTGGCCCCCTGTTTAAAAAGTTTGAGGACCCCCTGATGTACACAAACAAACAGTTAAATGAAAGTATGTTGCTTTCAGTCCGTGGGAAGAAGTCAGGAAAATCCCAAGGAATCAATGAATTAGAAAACGCTACTCAAGCATAGTTCTGCAATACCACTGCTTATAAATCTCTATTTTTCCAATCTTTCCACTGATTTTCTTTTTTGTTGTTATGGACTCGTCTTCATGATGATTAAAGATATTCATTAGGACTATCAAAAGAGGTGGAGGTTCCAAATTCTCCAAAGTTTTCGTCAATGACGGGAGAAAAAAACAACATGAAAATGTTTCCACATTTCAGCTGTGTGATATGTGGTTCAGAAGATGGTTGATTCCAGACTGAGATGATTGGTTGCTGTAGGCATTACTGTTATTAAATTGGGTTTACTACTTGGAGCAAAGAAAATAACCGATCTGGAGAACTGATACTGAATCCAGGCTTGGAGCACTTGATAGAAATACAAGCTGGGAAATCTCTGATTAAATCCTTTCCTTCAGGCAGGTCTCTCTTCCCAATGTATTAGTCAGTAATCTGCAGGTGGTGAACTGGATGACTTGGATAGTAAATACCATAGTATCTACGCTGATCTAGAGAACATAAAAGAAAATCTTGAGTCAGCTCAATTTCCAGCGATGTCCTAGTTAGGCCTCTAGTTATGTTTTCAAGCCAATTATACAAAAGAATTACTCATGGTCTATTTTTCAAGATAAGATACCTGGTCCACAGTGGCACTGGTGTTTTTTTCATGTTCTTCCATCCAAAGAGCCATCAGGGTAAACTCTGCTTAGGTGTTTTGAGATCAGCCCAGGTGCTGTTGCCTGCTGTGAGTTTGGCTTCTAGCAACTAGAATAACCAGTTGGAAGGGACCTGTGAGGTCTTCTAGTCTAACCCCATGGACACATGGCTACAGTGCAGGTGATTGGGTGGTCTTAGGTCCCAAAGTCTGATGGGGTTCAACCGTGTTTAACAGTAACTACAGTATGTGGGAATGAACTTGACAGACAAGGGAAAGAGATGCTGCCTAGGGGAAGGATCAGAGAAGGGAGGCATGATTCCCTAATGGCTTAACAGTCAGAAAAAATAACTTGGGAAGAACCTGCCTTTGGTGGATCAAGGTATAAAAAGAGATGATGAGAGATTTGTACTTTCAGACTTGCAAGATTCTTTAATTTGGCTTTACAATAAAGTAGAATTAGCTCGCCCAGTCTTGTCTGGGTTCTGGCTAATTCTACTTCATTGTAAGGCTGGTTTATATGGTAGGATGCATGACATCTGTGTTAGCTTTGGAAGTCATATTAATACTGGAAGCTTCCACGCTGCCACCTTCTTGTGCTTGAAAAAGTAGGAGGGGGGCAGGGGTGAAATGCTCCCGGTTCGGACTGGCTCAGGCGAATAGGTAGGATGGCGGCGGGCAGTTCAGAGAACCAGTAGCAAAAATACCTTCTCCCCCAGCCTCCAGCTTGCTTACCTTCGCACGCCTGCCTTGCTTCGCTTGCTGTAATCCCTGCAATCCATTGCATCAGCAAGCAACTGAATCTCCTTGCCTGCAATCAAGCTCATCAGTGAGCAACTCTATCTGCCTATCTGCCTGCCTGCACATTTTTTCCCCCTTTGGGAGCTTTAAAAAAAATAGTTAATTGGGTTTTTTTTTAGTTGTTCTTTTTTTAGACCTAGCCATTTAAAGTTTAGGAAGTTTTAAATTTAGCTGCTTTTATATACAAATAAAAATAAAATAAAATAATATTTGTGCAGCTTTTTGAGATTTTGTGTGTTTCTGTAGTGTTTCACTCTAACTACACAAACACAAAATCTCATAAAGCTGTATGTGGAATTTTGTGTGTGTAAAGTGTGAAAGTTGGTTTTTTGGGGCTTTTTGTCGCTGTGTGAGAGTCCTGCTTGTTGCAGGGGTCATTTTGGGTCTAGCACAGCTGCTTTTACATTGTGGGTGAGCCTGTTGTGTTGTGTTGTGTTGTGTTGTGTGTGTGTAAAGTGTGAAAGTTGGTTTTTTGGACTTTTTGTGGCTGTGTGAGAGTCCTGCTTATTGCAGGGGTCATTTTGGGTCTAGCACAGCTGCTTTTACATTGTGGGTGAGCCAGTTGTGTTGTGTTGTGTTGTGTGTGTTTAAAGTGTGAAAGTTGGTTTTTTTGGACTTTTTGTGGCTGTGTGAGGTTCCTGCTTGTTGCAGGGGCCATTTTGGGTCTAGCACAGCTGCTTTTACATTGTGGGTGAGCCAGTGAGTTGTGTTGTGTGTGTGTAAAGTGTGAACGTTGTTTTTTTGGGCTTTTTGTGGCTGTATGAAGTTCCTGCTTCTTGCAGGGGCCATTTTGGGTCTAGCACAGCTGCTTTTACATTGGGTGAGCCAGTTGTGTTGTGTTGTGTTTTGTAGGTTAAAAAAGGGCAAAGAAGTGACATCGACTTGGCCACGCCCACCTGACCAACAAGCCATGCCCACCCAGTCACCTGACCAACAAGCCCCACCCACTAATTAAGCCACGCCCACAGAACCGGTAGCGAAAATGTTTAGATTTCATCCCTGGAGGGGGGGATTTAGTAGAGGGAATGTAGTTAGACAAAATAGCATTCTTCTTTTTGGTCAAGGTCGGGACAGTCCTGCATCTGGAGAAGGAGTGGTTGAAGTGGTGTCTCGAGATGGGATGGATGGTGATTGGACCATGTGATGGATTGATGGGTGCAGGAGCAGGATTGTGGTTTTGAATTCCTGAGGGAAAACCCAGAGCTCTCAGATTCGGGTTTCCCCAGATGTGCCAGAGTACCTACTCCAATAAATGGGAACTTTGAGAAAATGTGTCAGCCTCCGCTTTTGCT